TTCCTCTATCAACTGTCATTCAGTTCTACACAACAGTCTACAGAATCACACTTTCAAAGGGATATCCGTCCAGGGTGTGGGGTATAGCTCAGTGGTACTGCATATGCTCAGCATGTGTAAGGTCCTGGGTTCCATCCCCAGCACCCAAAACCAAGCCAAACTAAATAATAACAACAAACCCATCCAACACCAGAAAATGTTCCTAAATTTGCTCCTAAAACACTTCTAAGTAGATAGTTGTTTTTGTTGTTGTTTTCGTGTCTGATATTTAAAAAGACCATACTCATTCTCTACTTTTTAATAATTAAGATATTTTCAATATATTCCTGAAAATTACCTATTTTAGATGAAGCTCTGAGAGGTACCCTCTTGTCCTTCTGTGCTAACCCTGGGAGTATACTCATGTGCCAGATGTGTAGGGCTATATTAGTTTGTCTCCTTTCTTGCCCTGCCTGATGCATGTCTCTTTCTTATTTTAATAGTAAAGGAATGGTCAATATCTAGCAGGTCTCAATCATACAGTATTTTGGTCATACTTTTTTTTAAATTTTTTTTATTATTAGTTGTTCTTTTGCTTCTTCGTTTTTATTTATTCCAGCCCTAATTGAGACTGTCTGGGTCTTCCTTCTACTTATGCTAATTCTCTCCTCAAGGTCATTTCTGGCTGTAGCCTCCRCACTGGGCCACAATTAGTCCTACTTCCAACTAAACTGGTTTGAAATCTTCCTCACTTATCATCTCAAGCTTCCTTCCTCTCAGGTAAATTCAGTTCCTAATTAAAGAAATCCACCTGGACCATTACCCTTCTACACTGCCAAAGTACTCAAAATATTGAAGTACTTAATATATTTGCAACCTAAGGTTTTTTTTAAAAAAWATAACTTTATTTTATTTATTTATTTTTTAATGTGGTGCTGAGGATCAAACCCAATGTCTCACACATGCTAGGCAAGTGCTCTATCACTGAGCCACAACCCCAGCCCTTAATATGGTTTTTATATCACACTTGGAGCAATTTATTAATGAAATTTAGTTATCTCATGTGGCGCCTAGTGGCCTTAAGAACCATGGCCTCCCGGGAAATGTAATGTCAGTTAARCTAGAGGAAAAGGCTGAAAGGAACAAACTTCAAAGTGATGAGGAGGATGTCACTAACAATCATGTAATAGAAACAAATAACTTGGGTATGTTTCCTAATTATTTTAAGGATCTCTTTCAAAACATATGATTTATTTTTCATTCAGGAAATAAAAATCTTTGAAGTGCAGTCCTATGTAAAGAATATAAAGAAATAGTGAAATGCCCCTAACCTTAGTTTTATATACTGTACTTCTTAAAAAAATAACTTGAAAAAATATTTTTTAAAAGCATGAGGGTATGTGTTATCTGAATTAGAAATACACTAAGGATTCAGAGGGAGGCATATGGACTCAGGAAGGAAGTGGAGTTTAGGCTGTGCTTTGAAGATGCAGAATTTCAGCTAGCAGGGGTGTGGTCAAGGGTGAGGTGTGAGGGGGGCAGATACTGCCATTGTCTGGTGCCTTGAGTGATAAGCAAGGCTGAGAATCAGGAAAGGCAGAAAACAGGAAGTGTGTTTGCCAAAAACATACAGATTCCTGTCACTGAAATATTGCTAGTAAAGTTCTAAAAAATATGCAATGTAGGGCAAAGGAAAAACTACAAAAGGGCAGTATATATTTCTAATTCAAGACTACAAAAAAGGATGTGATTCAAAAGTTAAAGATACTAAAATCTGACATAGACTTCAGTACAGCTGTATAAAGAAAGAATCTGTGCTTTCCATGTGTAATTACATTTAATCCACACAACAACCAGCTCCRTAGGTTTTATTAATTCCATTACACATGAGGAAAGGAAAACCGGGGGTTACAGAAGTTCAATAATGTAAGCTCCTTTGTATTCCTGCTAGGCAACTGAGGCAAAATATGATAGCAGCTATTCCTTTAATAATCCTATCTTGAGGATACCCTTTTTACTCCATGCCAATGATTTAAAYCTTTTTAAAAAGTAAATGGATTCAAGAACATCTCCATAGTAATGTCACCCTCATTGGTTGTAATAAGCTTTCATGAGTGGTGCAGGAATGGAGATATAGCCCACACTCCAGGTATGATGTGTGAACTCTTGGGAGTAAGACCCTCTTCTCCATGTAGAAGAYAATAACTGATGGGCAGGAGTGAATAGTCCATTAGGCCAAGTTTTAATTCATTCATTTAATAAAAATCTGTGGCAAGAACATAGATTTTTGACATAAATGGCTCTGACTGAAAATTAGAGTCCTGCTGTATACTAGATACATGCAAAACCTTGGACAGATTACTTTCTCAACCTCTGTTTCCTCATATAGACATTATGTCAAGTCAACAATAAATTAAGGTAGGAATAATAAGAGCCTTTGGATAATGAGGAAAAAGTGTATCATTAAGACTAAAGAGGCAGGGCCTGGTGGTGCACAATTGTAATCCCGGTGACTCCAGAGGTTGAAACAGCATGATCTCAAGTTCCAGGCCAGCCTGGGCAACTTAGTAAGATCTTGTCTCACAATAAAAAATAAAAAGGGTTTGGGTTGTAGCTCAGTGGTGCAGGACCAGGGGTGGGAGGAAAACAACAGTAACAACAAAAACAAAACAAAACAACACAAAAAACTAAGGATGTTTGTTCTCATTAGGCATTAACTTAGCTCTAAGGTGTTTGGAAAGTCACAAACTGAGCTCCTTTCTTCTGTAAAATGTGGATGGCCATCCATTCTAGGGGTCTATTATAAGAATCCGAGATAATGTGTTAGAGACTTGGAGCAGCCAGACTATATTGTATAGCAATACATCATATAAAAAATCATTAACACCTGCTTGCCAAAATAAGGTATAGTTTCCATTTCATTTCTTTTTAAACTTAGGCTTTATTCTAAATGTACTGGTGACTATAACTTAATAATACTATACACTATTGAAAAGTCACAACAGGGCAAATCCTCAGCAAATAAATAAATAAAGGTATTCTGTCCATCTGCAACTAATTTTTTTTAAAAAAGTGATGACAATAATTTGGCAAAAATGGAAACTTAGGAATTAAAACAGTTCTCATTTTGTCTTTTTTGTTGTTTATAACTGTCTCATTTTTAAAGATAAACTTCATATAAGTGAAAAAAATATTCATTTCTTACAGCACTTAATGTAGTCTTTCACTGGAAGCATTCCCTTAAAAACATTACATAAGCACCTCATTAATTGAACAAATTCATTAAATAAAACTAATAATAACTTCATTAAATATTAATAAAGATATTAATTACATTTGAAAACAGACTAGCATCACTAAAAAAATTATCAAAACTTCACTAGTAAGAAAATTGTTAACTGTGCTTACTGTCTTCTATACAATCACTGGGTTGTTGGATCCTATCTACAGCAAATCTATTGTGAACCATAGAAAATATCCACCTTGACATCTGTTCCCCCTGTCTTTCCTAAAGAAAACAAATAGACCCCAGGACAAGACAGAATTTAAGTTAGTCATTCCACAGGAAAGCAAATCTGTTTTACACCTTTGGCCTTTCCTATTTAAGCAGTCACAAGAAATGCAAATATCAAAGATTAGAACTGTAAAAATCTAATCTGTTACCTTAATCCACACATCCAATATGGTTTATGAATCTGAGCAAATTCTGTCAAGTTCAGGCTACATTTTGAGTTTTCTACAAATCATTAGAAAATAAAGAGGATATATACATGTATAAGACTGACCACGCTGTCAGTTTGGCAGTGTTGGGACAACGGAGAAAATTACCTGTCCAGGCTGAAGCTTTATCTGCTTTAGGAAACCACCACATCCCTGTCCAGAAATATGACCGTTTGTTACATTTCTTGTACTACTGAAGTATGTGACTAAAATGTAACTGACATTTCCTCTACCCATTCCTCTCTCCTCTGAGGTTGTGTTAAATAGGGTAATTCAAACCTCCCTCTGCCAAATGCCGGCACTCCTACGAAGATTGATTGGTTCTTATTTTTTACTTTAAGGAGGATGGTAACCTGAAAATGTTCCTAATTGGTTTGCTGGGAGTTTGAAATACTTAAGGAATTTGAAACCTAGTGAAGTTTGGCCCTCCAAAATATCCGCATAAGGATGTGGATTAAGTGCCTGGCTAGATACTGCAAATTCAGGTACTGTGCGAGGTTTTAAAGAAACTGTTTGAAATCTGATGTACACGGGCAGGCGTGGGTGGGGGGTGGGAAGAATTGGTTGAGCAAGAAAAGAAAGGTATTAGCATCTAGAGAGCACAACCTGGAGTTGCTAACTCCATCCCTAACCACCTCCTTGCTGGGAGCTAGCTGAAAAGAGGCAGATAAAGAAGGCTCAGTTCGCGGGTGAGGGAGAAGCAACGGTCCTGGTCTCAATCGCTGGCCTAAACACCTGGCTTTTGGGGCCCGCCGGATCCGCGAAGCCCCTCTCCCGTCTCTGGTACTGCAGGTGAGCGGACAGAGCTCCYTAGTTCCCTACAAAGCCCTTCAAATTCTCCTCCACACCCCAAAGTGCTAACTTTAGAGGCTCTAGGGTGGCAAGGAGAGAAAAGACCAGAAAGGGCAGGCCCCGGGGTCTCAGGGATCTTCCAGGTAGGAAAGAAAGAGGATGGATCGCGGTTTTTTTCCCTCGTGTGTCCCCCTCCCCCCCACCACCCGCAGAACCTGCTGTGGCCGCGCTGCGCTTGGCGCCAGGCTGGGGTTCCTCGTGCGGACGCCGGTGCTGGCGTGAGATGGGTGGGGTAGGGGTTGCCGGGTTCCTAAGCAGTAGAACCGATGGTTCCAAGCACCACACGCTGGGCAGGCGACCACATTCTGCTTGTCCCAGGGCCAGGAGAAGGCAGAAAAGCAAGCAAGGCAGGGAGGGCGAGTCCTAGCTCCGGCTCTGCTAGCGGAACGAGCCCGGTGGCCCTCTGCGGGCCGCCCCTCTCCATCCCTCCACGGTTCCCCCGCCCTTACCTCTGGGTGCTACGGTGTCGGCACGAGAGGGTGSTGGGGAGCGGCGAGCTGTCTCCGGGCCGGGTTTAGCGGCAGCCAGCGAAGGCGGGGTCGCCCGCGGGACCGCTGCTCATGGCTTGTCGCACCTGGAGCGCTGCAGCCGCGGCCACCGCGGCGCCTTCCTCCTCGTCCTCTTCGCGGGCTCCGAGCCGGGACGCAGCTAACGCCCCAGCCCTGCAGCCCTCCTCCTCTGCGCCTCCCCTGCCACGGACGGAGCCGCCTCCAGCGCCGCCCCGCGTGCAGCGGGGCCAGCGGCAGCCAGCGCCGCCCAGCGCCCGGCCCCGGGGTCGCCGCCGCCGCCCGCCGAGCCGATTCCGCGGTGCCAGCCCCGCTGTGACGCAGGCAGCAGTGCCCGGGAACTTCCTCCCCTGCAGAGACCACCCCGGGCCCGCAGCCGGCCAGTGAAGATTGCCGCCGGCCGCCGAGGACTTGATTCAGGACAGGAAAAGAAATTTCTCCAGCCGCTTCGAGATCGAGCCACTCCGGTCTCTGAGCTGCCCACCTGGCGGGCTCTGCCGGGGGAATTGGCTGTGTCTGATATCACCTCCACTCCTCATCCCTAACAATGCGCGGAAAACCCGTGGCTTCTGTGCGCGCAGCGTTTGCTCCGTTACCGCAGCTCCTCCCTTGGGTAAGTTGGAGCCGAGCAGCCACCACTAAAAATAGCTCTTCTGGGAAATCTTCGAAAGACCGAGGTCAGGATGGAGAGAATTCCTCCGCAAAGAACGGAAGGGGGTCCCTGAAGAACAGAAGGTGGAGAGGATGGAATTACACTGAAGGAGAAAGGCAAAACTAACTATTGCTGGACCACGAAATCGTTGAGCCCCTTTGACTACCAATACTCTTTTCCTGCAGGAATCCCCATCTGCCCCACACGACCAGATGGGCTCCCAGATCTCTAAGCAGCAGGTTCTAGGGAGACTCCGTTTGAAAACTCCGCCTACGATTTGTGTTGTGCATAAAGGAGTTGACCCAGGCACACCAAACCACCTGTTGTTTAGAGCGAATGGGGAGGGAGTTCTTCATTCGTTGATCTGAAACCTTTTTCTCCTCCACATTCCCCGCCCCCCCACCATCCCGTCCAGTATTTTAGGATGAAAAAGCAAACTCTGACTTCTTGAAAGCTGCATGGAAAATCTAATGCTCAGTTTTTAAAAATGTAGGACAATAGTAAAAGTCTTCTGGAATACTTCATCAATACCAGCTATTTTAAGAGCACCAAAAATTAAACTGTTGCCCTATCCTGGCAGTTTGAGAGAGAGAGATGTATGTGAGTGGAGAAATTAATAGATAACTAGTTGTCTATTTTTTCACCCCACTTCTATTTCTAAGTCAAAATGATTTCTCCCCCCCAAAAAAAGTTGTTCTCTTGGGCCTTTAACTGCTGTTTTCCTGCTCCCCCATCAAAATACTATGCTTTTTCCAGTCATGCTGGTGACTGGATGTCCTTCGAGGAGAACATTCTTAAACCCCCTCTTGCCTTAGGAGATGACTCTAGCATCAGTCTTAATTAACCTAGAAGAAGACAAAAGCCTAGGATGGGGCTTTCTACTAGACAGCAGATGGAAAAAATTCCTAGAGTGTCTCTGGAGAAAAGGCAGAAGCTGGCATTAGCAATTTGCTAAAAATAAAAATTTAAGTACCTTGCAAGCCACCAGCTTAATGCAGGAATATTAGGTAGCTCCAACTCTGATATCTTATTTCGATTTAAGTCCCCACTGAAGCAAGTACTAATGTCATAAATCTCCCATGGAGGGCCTTATTCTTCAAGTGCTGAGTGCCCTTCCATCTTTGTACCATTGGCACCCTGAGGACAAGTTTAGGCCTCCCTGGGTTGCTCCCTTGCTACCCAGTGCCAAGGAACCACCAAACCCTAGACTTTTGACTTTGGTGAAACAGACTTAAATCCCTGTTTTTTTTTTTTTTTTTTTGTTTGTTTGTTTGTTTTTTTTTTTTTTTTTTTTTTTTTTTTTTTTTTTTTTTTTTTTTTTTTTTTTTTTTTTTTTTTTTTTTTTATGGGGTCTCACTGTGTTTCCAGGCTAGTCTTGAACTGGACTCAACGGAGCTTCCTGTCTCAGCCTCTCTCCAGTGCTGGGACTACAGGCATGAGCCACCATACCCAATTTGCATTTCCTCTTTAACCTTAGGGAAGTTACTGCTCCTTTTTATTTTTTTCCCCACACTATTATTAATATAAGTATAGTAGCACTACAGGGTGCTGTGAGAACTAGACAATATTTTTAAAGCACCAAGAACAGTGTCAAGCATCTTAGAAACAATAAATGAGAGCAGTTATTGTACTTATTACTCTTCATTGCTCTGAAAGCAAAACAATAAAAACAGCACATTCATACCCTTGGAGGCATGGGCTATGAATTCCCTACAAGTCAGCTCCCCTTGAGTTGCTTTCTAGTAATATTCATGYCTACTCTGCCTTCTAACAGAGGAAACAGGCAGGTCTACAAGTGCAGGCAGGTGATTCCAATGTGCATTAATGCTTGAAAGTTACTAGTCCAAAAACTAATCTGCTAATCTGCTTAATCTACCTTTTTCTTTTATAGCATATAAACCTTAAGTCTGTTGTCTTACTTCAGTCAACCTAACTTGAATCACAAATTTACCAAGCACTCTTTAAAGCACTGAATGAATCAGCAATTAATGAGCCAGCTTGGGTGAAATCTGGGTCTTAAAGGTATCACAGAAATATAAGACTTATTCCCTGGCTTTAAGGTATTTTCAGTTCATGGATGACAGAATCTGGCATACACCAGAAATTTAAAGTTTGCATCTTCAAACTGAATGTGCATGAAATTCAAAGAAAGGAGAGGGCACTGTGGGCTAAGTGAATTGCGTATACAGTTTCCATCTTGGCCTTTCATTTTATACTCAATTTTACTACCCCTCTTTTTTTGAGGGTCTCAAATGCTAGGTAAGCACTGTACCACTGAGTGACATCCCTAGTCCTGGTCCCAATCCTTTAATCCAGAATTTGATGTTCTATTTGTGCTTCCAGATTAAGTTTCCACAGTGAAAGTCCACACAGATAAAAGTTAACTGTGCATTGCTTGGTAACAAGGAATGAAAGTGGATATTTCTGGGCAAGGCAGGACAACGCTATGGTAAAGGGTATGGAACCATATAAATCTGGGCTCAAATTCTCTGTCTCTATCTTTGTGACCTTTAGCGTCTTAATCTTTGAGCTCCAGCTTCTTCATCTATTGGAACATAGAAACTTTTCAGGGCTGTGGTGAAACAGAATATATCTTGTAAACTGTATGAAAATGGTAAGAATATTACATTGTTTAGGCAGGACTGAGTTTCATTCCTTGAAACACAATTCAAATATCACTTTGTGAAGCCTCCTGGGGTTCCAGGCAAATGTAGTGAATTCTGCCTTAAATTTGTACCGGAGGAGATGGTGGTGACAAAGACCTAAAAATAGGATACTTTAAAACTTTGAATCAGATTCTTCTAAAATCAGCCTCCTCCCCGCACCTACAGCAAATCAAACCTCTGTTTTAGCACTTACCAGGGTAAGTTGTCATTTATCTCTACATGTCTGCTTCACTCCCAAGTCTGTGAGCTTCTTCAGGGCAGAGACAGTACCTTTATTCATGTCTGTATCCATCATCAACACCCAGCCCAGTACCTGATATTAAATATTGAAAGAATGATGTTTTAAATTTCTTGTAACGATTCTTTCACTATAACTCATGTTACATGCTGTAATTCTTTCTCATCAAAAATTTATGCTAAAAGTATGTATTATGCATATGTATAATCTACTTAAATTTTTTTTTAAATGCTAGGATGATGATGATGATCATGATTACTTTGGTGATTCTGGGGATTGAACCCATGGCCTTGTGCATGTAAGGCAAGCACTCTACCAACAGAGCTATATCCCCAGCTCCCCTGCTAGGGTTATTCTTTAAGGTGAACCTGCTACTCTTGATTTTCTTATTTTTGATGTCCGTTGATACTGCCTGGTAATAGTGAAAGTAAAATTTAATTCTAAACCAAAACCACCAGCAGGATTTTACCCTGCATTCTCCACCCACCATGTGCACATCTGCTCCCCAGATCATTTCTGAGCTTTGTGGGAAGGAATTAAGCTAACAGAAAACATCCTTTGTTTTAAGTTTCAGCTGTTAACATTGTTGCAACCATTAGCACTTTCTGAATTAATAGCTCCAATATAAAATTCACCTTTAACAACAGTTTTGAAATCCTTGACTCTGCACCATTAAAAATGCTAACACAGAGAGAATAAAACCTTCCCCAGTAATTGTCCTTTGAGCAAGATGTGCCCTGAAAGGTAATGTGGTCTTGACCCTAAAATGGCACTTAAATTTGTACCAGAGGAGATGGTGGTGACAAACACCTAAAAATAGGATACTTTAAAACTTTGAATCAGATTCTTCTAAAATCAGCCTCCTCCCCGCAAGACAGAATTGTTTGGTCCCACTACATTGTGAAATTTTCTTTGGTAATCATAATGAATAAGCACTATGGGATATATACTGGGTGCTGGGCACTGGCTTTGTTATGCATTGTCTCATTTAAACACCATAGCTAACCATTAAATAGGCAGTCTTTTTTTCTCCTTATGACAGGAAGCCATATAATTAAGTAGTTAGCCAAAGATCACATGATTATGAGTAAAAGAGCTATGATTTGTTCCTGGGCAAGTCTAATTTCAGAGTTCTTATGCTTAACCACTACTCAATCCGATGAGAAAGAAATATTTGTTTTTAAATTGAATCCATCAAGCATAGTCAGGAAGTTTAATGATGTACTTTTCCCGCAGTTTTTGCAATTGCATTCATTTGGGCTTTTCCCAGTAGCATACTCACATCCAAATGTGCCTTCATGAAGTGGTTTTACAGCAGCCTCCTTCAATTGAAAAGCACTTTATGACTGAAAGCAAACTTCTTAATGAAAGATCATGAAGTGTCTTGTGGCTCTGAGTTTAGGCAACATGAAATACACTGGGCAGAATCTCCTAAAGAATTATTGTTCAGATGGGCCAATGATAGATGAGCAACTTTCACATGACAAATATTATTAAATAATTATATCTAATAATATATAATAAATATTATATAATTCTTCCATCACCTGACTAAGTCAAGAGGCAGAGTAACTGGCAAAGAAAGAGCTCTGC